TAGTATCGCGCTACATTTCTTTCGTTTTTCGTTAAAACAACGAAGAAACGCACGAGACGGCACCGCGGCGAGTGATGAGAGAAATTCGCCTCGATCGATCAGCTCTTATTTTCCCCCTCTCTCTCTCTCTCTCTTTCCTCCTCAGTGTACACCGAGGAGAAATGTTTGCTACTGATGACTGCGATCTCACGACAGCGAAAGAATCGTAATTAACAGACTTTCATTTCCGTAGCAAACGTCGCTGTCGCGTCGCGGCGACAATGATTTCACGCCGTATATCGCGCGCAATCGTTTCGTCGGGACAACGACGGGGAGTCACTTGCAACGTCGCGACGCCGAGGACTGCAATTTTCATCGGCGACGAGCCGTTTTCTCCCCCGGCGCGTAGCGATCGGCTAATACGTGAGAGGCGAGCTGTTTGAGGGTAACTTTCTAAAGGAATGCCCTGAACCGCTCGCCCGTCGCCGCGCGATCCTTTTACGGAGAATCGAATTTCTTCTCGTCTCCCCTAAGCTGGTGCGCCGACTTTCTTCGTTTGCGCGCGCGCGCGTGTTCGATCTCTCTCGCTCAATCGCGAGCGAGTACATTGATCGAAACCAGTTGAGAGTAAATAGCGGGCGTAATTAGCTGCCTAACTTCTTTGGCTCCGCGATCGTCCGTTATACGACGTCGCGTCGTTGACAAGGACGCGCGCACCCGTCGCTGCCATTGCCGCCGCCGCCCCGCGCGCGCGCGCGCGCGCGGAGAATATCGAGAATCAGCCACGGTGTGTCCCGCGCTCCATTGACTTCATTCGCCGAAGGACGTTTTATCTCCGGCCCACATACCGTACCCCTTCTGCTACGCGACCTCCATTCAGTCCGGCGTAAATACAAAGGGCGCCGGCACCCACCCAGGCTGGATAGCGCTCCCGTGAGAGGAGGGAGCGTGTGTGTGTGTGTGTGTGTGCGTGCGTGTGTATAGAGAGAGGAGGGAGAGAGCTGAGAAAAAATCCCTTTGACACCTGTGCGGTGAGAGTCGATTACTCGACTACTCGCCGACTCGTGGATAATTAGTGGCCGCAGTAAGGCCGGATGTAGAATACGTCCTGACACGGCTTTTCCGGTGACGTGCACTTTTCTCTGGCAGTTTCGCGCGCTCTGCCTCTCTCTCTCTCTCTCTCTCCTTGTCCCTCTTGATTCTTGGCGAATTAATTCCTCGGTCGATTCTCCTCTCCGACCTGTGCCGCCGAACTTCTCTCCAAGTTTCATGCTGCTCGTTTCCAATTCGACATCCGCCATTTTTCACAGCGGCAGTGATATTCGCGCATCTCGTCGGCTTCGAGAGTCGCCGCAACGCGGCTAATTAGAGAGATTGATCGAAAGACCGCGGCAGGATCGAGATAACTGGACGTTATCCGAGCAGACGCTGAGACTCCGCTCAGCCGAAGACCCCGAGACGCGCGCGCGCGCGGCGCTTTTTCCTCCCCCTTTCCAATGTCAAGCCCGAGCGAGCGCGGGTGAACGTCTCGAGCCGCGAGAAATATCGCGGGAGAATCAAGGTGGCGGAAATTACGGCACTTCGCGAGCACACTCGGTCAGGCACGGAGCCGGCGAGCCGCAAGGCCGTGTATTTTTAACTTGAGAACCTTCCGGCAGCCCTGCCGCCCGGGATCAATACCTACGACCACCCCCGTCGCCGTGTACTACTGCTGGAAGTAGAAACCGCGCCGCTACACCGCTAGTTTTAACCTACATATTCGCGCGAGAGCACCTCTTGGCTCGGGCCAACGTGGAAACTTGCCACCGAGTCAAGTACAGGAAGCGACCGGAAAAAGCGAGTACGCGCGATGCGATGTGCGATGCAGATGCCCGCCGCCGCCGCCACCACCCCCCTCGTTGCGGTTCCCTGGGTGCGGTAACGAGGCTGCACGAAGCTCGGTGAGAAAGAGGGAGAGGCAGCAAAGTCGCGGGACCTATTTTTTTTTTTCTGCTACTACATACTACGCACGTGTGTAGTCCCTTATCCCAAGCGTTGGGATAAGGGACTACAGACAGCCCCCGCATCATCGTTTCCAGGGCGAGTCCCGAATTATCCGACCGGCAGGGAGGATGAGAAGGCGGTTGCGAAGATTGCGTTTAAAGCAATCGGCGAACGGAAAACGCGCGGGGAAGAGGGAACGCGCGCATCTACGAGGGCACTCTCCAAGTCGCAACGAGCCAATCGACTGGCGGATACATTTTCACAGACAAACGAGCTTCGGGAAATCAAATCCGCGTAACGGAAGAGGTCGCTGGACGACGCGAGAGAGGTCGTCTTCGAAGGGTCACCGGCTCGCGAAAGTCGTGGAAGCTCTTTTGCGGTTCTTTCGCTCTCACCCGGTTCTGCCCCCTCCCTCTCTCTCTCTCTCTCTCTCTCTCTCTCTCTCTCTCTGTGTGTGTGTGTGCCTTTCTTTCTCCTCTCGTCTCCGTCTCCGGTTAGAACTCGGTTTTCCCTCGCGATATCGCGAGGCCGAAGGGGAGAAGCCAGAAAAGGCGGAATCGAGTTCCGAGACTCTCGGGTCGCTCCGGATATACCCGGCGGTCGTGGAAGCCCTTGGTAGACGCCCAAGAATCTCTATTGCGAGAAAAGAGAAAAGATGGAAAAGTAGCGGTGGTGGTAGTAGTGGTGGTGGTGGTGGTGGTGGTGGTTGTGGTGGTGGTGGTAGCAGTAATAGTAGTAGCAGCAGCAGCGGTAGTAGTAAGACGAGGAGAGACGGGGCGAGATGAGAGGGCAAGAGGGCGGAGAAAAGGAGAGACACCTTTCGCTCTCGGTGCCATTGAGAGAGGAGCGACTTCCGCAATTGCGGCGAGGCTCGCGAATAGCGAATAGACGGTCGCTCTCGCCAGGGGTCTAAGAGCAATCCCTTTTATTACTTCTCGACCTCCCCCCCCCCTCGGGACCCCCCCGGTTTACGTCACGAGACTGTTTGCGCGGACGTGCACATTTTCATACGAGCGGCCCGCGCGCACGCGCGTCACTTCCGCGTGCATAATTCACGCGCGGACGAGCGGCTCGGCGACGTGTATAAACAACCTCGGGACGTAAAAGGATGCGACGGAATGACGGAATTGCGAGAACCCGGTTAGGCCCGCCGCCGCGCCGACGACAATGACGGAGGAGTTATAAAGCGGCGCGCGTAAATTATGCGATTGGCACGCACTCGCATAATCGAGTCCCTCTCATTGTCCCTCTCCCCCTCTCTTTTTCGTCTCGAAGTCGCGAGGAAAAGGAATCGATCGATCGACGGAGCATCCGTCGCGCCTGTCGTGGATCGATTAAATGCCGTAAGAAAAGTCGCACACGGTTGAATATGCGATGAGCAATCTATCCTGCGATATTTTCTTTTTTCTTATCATTTGTTCTCGCCAGATCCGAACAATCTCGATGCACAGCGGCCGGTTCTCGCCTCGCGACGTTGACATTTCCGCCGACCGTGGTGTTACCTCTTCCTGTAACGCCGCGTCTGATTTCAACGCGCATTCCCGAGACGCGCGTAAATAAGCGCACTTTGCGATGTAATTTGTCGCACGGTGTGTTGTGTGATGTTTCTCCTCCCTTCAGTTGTTGGTTCGTCTCTGAGTTGACAGTACCATACACCGCCGTTCCTCGGCGTCACGGAAACTTGTGCGACACCATGACGGTCTCCGCGTGATCAGCCCGTGTGAGAAATCCGCAGCCGAGAGGCGCGCGCGTTTTACGTCTCGACGATGAGAGAAAAACATTACGAATAGTAAAAATAGAGCCGCTTTCCGCAGATGGAAAGCGGCGCGGTTCGGGTCTTTGGAAAATCCGTCTTTTGTCGCCGCTCCGTGCGCGCGCGCGCGCGCGCGAACCTCGAGAAGCAGCAGAAGGCGTTATCCTCGCGGACGCGCTCTTCTTCGTGGCGCGCAGGAAGAGCGGAGAGAGGAGAAACGATCGGCTCTGTTTCGGTTCCTTGAGCGTGCGAGGCCGAGGAACGGGCATAATAAGTAACCGGAAGCCGCGTTCCGTCTGAATGCGCGAGCCTCGCTCGTGAAAGGAGCCGATAACGCGCCGTCGAGTCCTTTTCCGAGAGACGGTCGGCGAGCTCTCCGATCTCGGCGCGCTGGAATCGAAGAGCGCTCGGAGACACGAGAGAGAGAGAGAGAGAGAGAGAGAGAGAGAGAGAGAGAGAGAGAGAGAGAGAGAGAGAGAGAGAGAGAGACAGAGACAGAGACAGGCATTGTCGCTCGCTGATAACGCATACGCGAGCGAGCGCCGCGCGATAATGCCTCCCAATTGCGAACTTGGCGCCGCTCATTTGCGCGAATCGGCCGGCGTAATTAAGGTTCTCTCGCCGGAGGAGGAGGAGGCGCGCGCGCGATCCGCGTTCGAGTCGCTGCAGTGTCGCGATATAGGGATCGTAATTCGGAAAGGAATTTGTCGACTGCGCAGTGTCGCGGGACTCGGATGCGTGTGCTGCTTTGTTCCGTTTTTTTTTTCTTTTTTCTTTTTTTCTTCACAGATCTGTACGCTCGCTCGAGAGGACTCGCTTGAAGCGCTGCGTAAATATATATTATCTTACCAGCGCTGGGAAAGTTGATCTTTACGAGTAACTCGTTGCCGTTATCGTTACTCGAGCAGCAACGGGTCGCTGCAATTTCCGTTACTCTCTTCTCACCAGCTTTCTTCTTTTCCTCCTCTTTCATCTGGCTCGCTGCTAGAGAGAGAGAGAGAGAGAGAGAGAGAGGGTGGGCGGGGAGAAGCACAATCTGATACACGCAAAGCAACGATAAAGGCAACAATCGTTTTCGTTTCGTTAGCGTTGCGCATAAAGCGCAGCGGGTGTTTGTTGTTCCTCCTGGAGGAAGAAGAGTAACGGTAGAGTCGCGAGAGTCGCAACGCGTTTACTACTCCCCCAGCCCTGGCTGCTTGGTTGGTTGTGTCGCGTCGTTAATGAAATACACAAAATGATTGCACCGCAACTACAAGGTGGATGTGTGTCGCGCGTCTGATTGCAGATCCCAGAGAGACTCTCGCTCTCGTTGAGAACAAACCGCGCGCAAGACGGTAGCCCCC